CCCATCCCCATCCCATCCCCATCCCATCTCCGTCCATCCCATCTCCATCCCCATTCCCATCCCATCCCATCCCATCCCCATCCCATCCCATCCCTGTCCCCATCTCCATCCCCATCCCTGTCCCAGTCCTCACTGATGGCAGCGATGAACTTGTCGAAGTGGCTGAAGGGGACGAGTGGCTCCGGCAGCTCCCGGAAGAAGAGCTTCAGTGCCCCGGTGACAACGTGGATGTCTTCCCAGCGCCCATCATCCAGGTCCAGGTGCTCGTCTGCGGGGCCGGGGCAGCACCTCAGGCAGGTCCCACAGCCCTGGGGATGGCTGAGGGTCCCCGTCCCTCCCTCCCCATCACCTTGCCCTTGGAGGGAGGGGGTCATATCCCATTTGTCCCCTGTTGTCACCGCTGGTGACCTTACCGTGCTCCACTTTGTAGCGCAGTTTCTGGATGGTGGCCAGGTTGCCGCTGACCCTGTACAGCCCATCGATGTCCAGACCTGGCACATGGAGGATGAGATGATGGAGATGGAGGAAAGCTCCCAGTTAACCACAACCCACCCCGGGATGTGACACCGATGGAGCTCCGGGTACCCAACATATCCCCATTGTCCCCTGGGAGATGCCTACAGCTCGGTGACAGCGACTGGTGTGGCTGGGCCAGCGTCCGCAGCAGCCAGCGCCGACCTTCCGGGGAAAACCCAACCGTCAAATTTAGGCTTTACCCAGAGCTGTCCCCATCCCGCTGACCCCCGGGTTGTCCCCGTCCCCGAGTCCCGGGGTGGTACCTCTCCTCTCCACGGTCTGGATGCACTGCAGGACGAAGCGGGGCACCGTCCCCCGCTCCCGCTCGCACAGCGCTTGCAGGGAGCAGCCGAAAATCTGATCTGGAAAAACCAACGGGAACTTGAGCACAGCTGGGTGACACCGACAGGACACCCAGCGGCAGGTCCGGGCTGGGGGACAGGGCTGGGGACATCGCGTGAGGGCCCGTTCCCATACGGGGTGGCCCGAGGTGATGGGACATGCTCAAGGCCATCACCGTGACGTTGGGTCCAGGGTTGGGTTTGGTCCCCCAGCCCTCTGTCTGAGCTCCATTCCCAGCTGTCCCTACCTACCTCCCAGCCTGGGGACACCCCGAGGGGGCTCAGCCCCATCCTGAGCACCCACCTTTGATGTACCTCCATCCCAAGCACCCATCCTTGATGTAGCCCTATCCTGGTGCCCATCCTTGATGTATCTCCATCCTGAGCACCCACCCTTGATGTCACCCCATCCTGGCACCCACTTTTGATGTTGCCCTGTCCTGGGCACCTACCTTTGCCATAGCCCCATCCTGACACCCACCTTTGATGTAACCCCATCGTGAGCACCCACCCTTGATGTAGCCCCATCATGGGCACCTGCCTTTGATGTTGCCTCATCCTGAGCACCCACTCTTGATGTAGCCCCATCCTGGTACCCACCCTTGATGTACCTCCATCCTGAGCACCCACCCTTGATGTGCCTCCATCCTGGCACCCATCCCTGATGTAGCTCCATCCTGTCACCCACCTTTGATGTCACCCCATCCTGGTGCCCACCCTTGATGTTGCCCCATCTTGACACCCACTGTAGCCCCATCCTGGGCACCTACCTTTGACATAGCCCCATCCTGACACCCACCCTTGATGTATCTCCATCCTGAGCACCCACCTTTGATGTCTCCTCATCCTGTCACCCATCCTTGATGTAACTCCACCCTGAGCACCCACCCTTGATGTGTCTCCATCCTGAGCACCCACCTTTGATGTATCTCCATCCTGTCACCCATCCTTGATGTAACTCCATCCTGAGCACCCACCCTTGATGTGTCTCCATCCTGAGCACCCACCTTTGATGTATCTCCATCCTGTCACCCACCCTTGATGTATCTCCATCCTGAGCACCCACCTTTGATGTCACCCCATCCTGAGCACCCATCCTTGATGTATCTCCATCCTGTCACCCACCCTTGATGTATTTCCATCCTGAGCACCCACCTTTGATGTCACCCCATCCTGAGCACCCATCCTTGATGTATCTCCATCCTGTCACCCACCCTTGATGTATCTCCATCCTGAGCACCCACCTTTGATGTACCTCCATCCCAAGCACCCATCCTTGATGTAGCCCTATCCTGGTGCCCATCCTTGATGTATCTCCATCCTGAGCACCCACCCTTGATGTGTCTCCATCCTGAGCAGCCACCTTTGATGTATCTCCATCCTGTCACCCACCCTTGATGTATCTCCATCCTGAGCACCCACCTTTGATGTCACCCCATCCTGAGCACCCATCCTTGATGTATCTCCATCCTGTCACCCACCCTTGATGTATCTCCATCCTGAGCACCCACCTTTGATGTACCTCCATCCCAAGCACCCATCCTTGATGTAGCCCTATCCTGGTGCCCATCCTTGATGTATCTCCATCCTGAGCACCCACCCTTGATGTGTCTCCATCCTGAGCAGCCACCTTTGATGTATCTCCATCCTGTCACCCACCCTTGATGTATCTCCATCCTGAGCACCCACCTTTGATGTCACCCCATCCTGAGCACCCATCCTTGATGTATCTCCATCCTGTCACCCACCCTTGATGTATCTCCATCCTGAGCACCCACCTTTGATGTACCTCCATCCCAAGCACCCATCCTTGATGTAGCCCTATCCTGGTGCCCATCCACCACCTGGCTTTGGGGGGAGGGGTGTGCTGCTTGTGGCTGAGAACGGCGCCCAACTCATTACACCGATGACCCCAATTGTTGCCGTTTCCCAGTAAGCCGGGGCGGCTGGAAACCTCCTCCCCGTGCAAAGCCCGAGAGGAAAAACCCCTCCAGGAGCGAGGATGTCTCTTGGTGACATCTCCATGCCCTTGGTGACATCTCCATGCCCGTAGGAAAGGGACAGGGGCAGCAGAGCACGTCCCTTTGCTCCCAGCCCCGGGATGTCCCCTATTGTCCCCACCACCACCAACCCCAGAACATCCCCTTCGCCGCTGGTGGGATGAAGCAGGCAGGTGCTGGCATTGCCACCGCCCTGCGGGCCACGCGCGGACACCTACGGGTGACCTCTGTCCCCCTCCGCTGTCACCGGGCTCACCTCCAGGACATGCTTCTTGCTGGACTTGTCCTTGCCGGCCCAGGTGAGGGTGGCCCCGCGCAGCTCCACCGTGTGCTCGGGGGTGGTCAGGGTGCTGGGGTGCCGCTGTGGGAGCAAGGGGAGGTGACACCGCTGGCACCCACCCGGAGGGGACGGGGACATCGGGGTCCTCCTCTGTTGGAGGGCTGCGGGCTTTCCTCCTCCAGAAAGGCAGGAGTGGCAAACGTCCCTTGTGGGACATCTTTGTCCCCTCCCATGGCACCGGGGTCTCTCTGCGGGACAAGGACATGGCGCTGCTGCCGTGGGTGTGGTGGCCACCAGCTTGGGGACAGCCCGGCCCTACAGCCACCGACACCATGTGGGACATCCCCAGCCCTGCCTGGGGACACGGGGGGTGGTGGTGTCTTCAACTTTAGGGTCCCTCTTGGTGACAGCACCGCGCAGGAGCAGCGTTCCATGGGGAAAGGAGTTTGGGTGGCCGTCCCCAGGGAGGGGACAGTCCCTCGGGGTTTTCATAGGGGAAGAGCATCAGACCCGCTTGCTCTCCCCATGCCCTGGGTTTTGGGGTGCTTTGACCACGCTCCCCCTTCCATCCAGCCCCTCTCCATCCTTCTTCTGCAGCAGGGACCCCCCGAGACAGACCCCCCTGTGGCCCCGCGGTGGGGCCAGCACCGTGTGTCCCCCCCTCTG